CTTCACTTTCTCATCTTTAAAATGGGATATCAGTTCCTATCTCACAGGATTATTTGGACCCATAAATGAGTTCCTCCACATTAAGCAGTTAATTATGACTCATTATTTTTTTTGGTACCTGGGGATCGAACTCAGGACCTTACACTTTCGAGGCAGGCGGTGGAACCACTGAGCTAAATCCCTGGCCCTATGACTCATTTTTTTTTTTTCCTATGACTCATTATTATCGGAGTGGTATTTGGACTCCTTAAATGAGACTCAACTAGAGCCTTGCTTCTCAAACATCAATGTGCAATGAAACAACTGGAGATACTGCTTAAATACAGGTTCCGATTTAATGGCTTGAAGTGGGTCTGAGAGCCTGCACTGACTCCCAGCTCCCAGGTGATAACTCAGCTGCCACGGGAGGCTCACATGAAGGATCAGGGACCACTAAAATGCAGATTCACAGGCCCCAACCCGGGCCCTTGGTTTCAGCATCTCTGGGATGGAGCCCAGGAATCAAATGTTTAACAAGCTGCCCAGGTGATTGGGATGAACCAAAGCTGGGCCAGAATGAATTAATTTTCCTAGAAGGAAGATGTAGCATGTTCATAGTGTTTGTGGGAGAGAATATGCCATTCTTTACTTAGGGCTGAGGTTCTTCCTCTCTCTTTTATTTTCCTTCTCTTTCTTCCTTCTTCCTAGGCCAGGCAGTAGGGTTCAGTGGTCAGACAACCCCATCAAATTTGTCTCTTGGGCCTACCACTTACCAGCTGAGTGCTGCCTCCTCTGAAGCCCGTGTCATGTGCAAAGTGAAACTAGGGTTGACCTGGGGAGCTGGCCACCATCCACTAGGTCCTGACCATTCTGGTCCTTGTGCCTTTGTATAGAAGTAGCAGTAGGTGATGGTGCTGGTCCTCTGCTGGGGGAGCAGCTTGGCAGTAGGGCTCAGGACTTGACTTCCAGGGTACATCAGGGCTCAATGAATGGACAGACAAAAGACCAGCTATATATAGATACTGGCTTGGCTACCTTGGCTCAATTCAAGTCGGCAGATATTAGTGACTGTACACCCTGCACCTTGGCCTGTATCTGAGGTATGGAAGGGCCCGTGGGGGCAGAGAGACCAAATAGTTATAACTTCTCTGTGAGCTTCTATGCTTAGCTTGTATTTGGGAAGTGATCACCATGGTATGCAACTGTTCATTTGATCAGTAGTAAAATGCAAACAAAATTGACTCTGCATACTGTGCTTTCCACAGTCATGCTAACCAGTGTGCTCTCGTTCAATCTTCATATCAATATTGCGAAGGACATATTACTATTATCCCTATTTTGCGGATGAGCACACTGAGGCCCTGAGAAGGTGAGTGACTAACCAGGCACCTGGCAGAGTGGGACTTGAACCTGGGTCTTGAGCTCCTACTATTCCCTAAGCTTCAGTGAGGTGTAGGAACTGGGGCCTGGAGGGATTTGGGCAAGAAAAATAGAGATACCATCTCCAAGAGGATGAGGGTGGGCTGCTGGTAGGGGCACACACTGATGAGACTGACTCTCACCCCAGCTTGAGGCACCACAGAAAGGGTTGGTCAGTCACACCCTCAACACCAAGGCCCCGACGTGACAGGGATTCCCCAAGTCTGTAAAAGGGCAGCAGTGAGTGTATTTGCAGCTGAGCTGGAGCCGATCTAACTCCTGGCTTTAGCATAACCAGCAGGAAGGGACACAAAAAGCCACATGAGTTCCACAAAGGCGACTCCAACCCTGGGCTCCTGTTAGAGGTTAAAACCAAGGCTGCCTATCTGGTGGGCACAGGGAAGTTTCTGGACTCTTCTGGTCCAGTGGAGGGAAGAGCAAGGTGTATGGCTCATTTTTTGTGAGTGCACAGACTTGACGACCACATGGGTCAGTGAGGGAGAGTTGACAGAAACCAGAGCACCATAAAATGCCACCTGGGGGTGGTAGGGCTGCCTGAGCTTCTACACTTGATCTTAGCCCAAAGGCCAAGAAGCAATTGCCTGAGCTTCTAATCAAGGGCTCTCGTTCCACTTCTGGGGCCAGAGGACCCTTGAGGCCCTGACAGCCAGGCGAAACTGGCTCCACCTGGGGTATTTTATGCTCTTAGGGCCACCATAGTTGTGCAAGGATGCCTAAAATGGGCTAGAATTGTGTGATATTTGAAGAAACTCAACCTCATTGGTCATAAAAGTTAAACACAGTAAAATAAGATTCCACTTTGTTATTATTTCCCCTGGTTTGCAAGATTATAAAAGACAACCCCCTGAATTGTGGTTTGGCTATGACATGTCCCCCCCAAAAGCTCATTACGTTGAGGCCTTGCTTGCTAATGAACCCTAGGACTGCTTGATGGTGGATTCTAACTCAACAGTGGAATTCGATGGAATTATTAGAAGGCAATGAAATAGGATGTGGGGCCTGGCTGAAGGGAGTGGATCATGGATATTGTGAGAGCCCAGTCCTCAGCTGTTCCACCCTCTCAGGCTCTCTATGCTCTCTGCCCCCTGTCTGTCATGAGGTGAGCAGCTTTGCTCTGTGACACCCTCTCTGCCATGATGTTCTGGTTCCCACAGCCCCAGAAGTAACAGAGCCAAGTAGCCATGGACTGAAACCTCTGAAGCCACAAGCCAAAACAAACCTGTCCTGCTTTAGGTTGTTTCTGTCAGATATCTTGTCACAGTGATGGAAAGGTGACTGACAGACCTTGGGTGGGTCAGGGGTGGGGAGACAAGCTGTTCCCACAGGGATGTCAGGGTATGGAGCAGTGCTGTTGAGGAGGGGGCTTAACCTTGGACCCCAGTATTTTCCTCATGAGAAAAAATTTTCCTTATGGGAAACAGATGTGTGTGCAAAGACGTATGTGCTAAGCTGAGTTGGAGAGTTTATCTTTGGACAAAGTTAAATGTCCAGTAGAAGGTGATGAGATACATGTACTTTGGTTTATCCATAGGACAAAATTATAGGCAGTCATGAAATTATGATGCACAGCTTTTATGTGTTGCTATGGAAAGATGTTCCAGATATACCATTGGGTGGAACATATGTTACAAAATAACATGCATAGTATGAGCTTATTTTTGTGAAAAACAAACAAGACCATCTATATCTACATATGAAAAATGCATGGAAAGATTAAAAATAGTTATCTTTGGGTGATAGGATTATGCTCAAATCCTGAGCTTTGTAGCTTTTTTTTTTTTTTTTTTTTTTAAAAAAGAGAACATAATTACTTGAATAGCACAAATGGAAATGTCTTTAGTACTAAGGAATCAGGCTGGTAGGGTGTGTGAGGGTAGAGGGTTGTAGGTGGCCCAGAGTTGGGGTACTGGGGTTCCCTTGGACCTGGGTATGACCAGTGTCAGACAAGTAATGTCTGAGGGACTTGGGGTAGGTAAGGTAACCTCTTTGATCCTTGGTTTTCTCATCTGAAGAAGGGAATCCAATGGTGCCCATGGTATGGTAGTGTGGTGAGGATTTACTAGGTATCTGTAAAGCACATACACATAGTAAGCACTTGATAAAGCTTAATTCTATATAAAATATTATCAATATAGAATCACAGCATTATGTATCTATCAAACACACACATCACACACACACACACACGTGTGCATGCACACACACACACAGGTCCGAGAGTAGATTTGTTTTTTGAACTTCCAGAGGATGGAACTGAGAGGCAACGTCACAGGGAAATGAATTGCAGCTCCCGGCTAGGAACGTTCTTGCTCTCCCGAGGTGGAAATGGGAGTCCTATCCTGGAGGCACCAAGCAGGCTCCAGGTGACAAATGTCAGATGATTGGGCTGACCTAGCTAGTGGGGTCCCCTTCCTGTCTCAGATTGCAGCCACCCACACGGGGGATGAGAAGACATGAGAAGATGGCCCTTCCCTCCTGCTGTGTGGGTGTGGGCAGTTACCTCTCTTCCGAGTTTGGCGTCCACCGGGGCAAATGAACCTCTGCTCTGCAGCGATGAAACAAACTGGGAAGAATAAAACCTGACTCTTACTCCTATTTATTTGTGTTCTGAAATGGTGGAGTTGGACTTGAGCAACTTTTCACTTATTCATTTCATTCATTCATTCATTCATTCATTCATTCGTTCGTGCTTGCTTCCTTCATTTGACAAATATGAGGCAGCAGCATGCTCACTTCTGTCAAGGGCAGGGCTCCTTTAAGGCCTCCTTGATCGATCGGCAGACCTGCAGGTCTCGGAGATCCTAATCCTGTCTCAAGGCTTTATCGCTTTGTACCACACGGGCAGCCAGAGGCCTCGTTCAGCAAGATGAAACCAGGCTCCTTATCAGAAAGACACACAGGGAGGTTTTGTCCATGAGTGAAAGCATCCTTAGGCACCGAGGGGGAAATGAGGATAGTTTTGAGATGTTAGAAGTCACTGTGCCTGTACCAGAATGCAGGGCCAGGGTCCTGAGCTGGCATCTCTGATCTGCTGTTCCCTTGGTCCCTTTCCGGCAGGAGGTGGGCACCCTGCTTGTGAGAGGCCCTTCCTTCTGGTGTCTGTGTCCTTCCAGTCTATCTTGTCTCAGCGCAGCCTCATCTGCTCTCTCAAATGTCCTCACCCACCTGGCCCACTGTCCCCAGCCAGCAAAGCCACACTGTGTCACGACTGTGTGCAGGCGAGAGCTTGTCCTCTGGAGACCCAGGGTCCTCTCCAAAGCTGGGTGCATGGAAGGGGATCCAAGGGTACAGATGGGGAGGAGATGGTAAAACTCCAATCCCTGAGTCTTCTGCATGGTTTCTAATGTGCACAGTGTAATGTAAGAGTGGAATCCCTTTGCAATGTGTACGTATTAACAAAATTAATAATTCAAAGATATAAAAATAATTAATAAACGACTTAATTTATTAATAATATATTTTGTCACATTTTATGATTTTCGTTATGTTTTATATCTTATATTATATACAGTAGTAACTAATAGTATAGAATAATAAAACAACAGATAATAATATATATCAATTATTGCTATATTTAAAAGGTGAATGTCAAGCAGTTTTTGAGCCTAGGAATAAATGATCAAGAAAGCTCGGTGCCAGCCCTTGCAGGCAGGAGAAGCTCAGGAACACAGCTGGTAGGTAATTCCTTCCTTCTGCTCTCTCCACAGGGCTTGCTCCTGGTTAGGGCTCTTACGTATTTGTCCAGTGACTGCACTGAGGGGTAATGAGAGTCAGCTGCCCAGGCTTGGTTTCCTGGCCTTTTGGGAAGCTGGGAGGGGCTTGCAGGCTCTGTGCAGAGACGGAGTAATCTACCTTAGTTCAGTTAAAGAGAGTGCTTGCTCTGAGCTGCGGTCTACGTGGGGTTAGGGCTCTGCAGTGAGCGAGTCTCAAACCATGGAACGTGCACCCTGGCACGTTCACCCCCATAGCCCGCAGTGAGATGCTAACGTCCACTCCAGTTCGCTTTTCCTTGGCTCTGCTTAGTGAAGGTAAGTACAGTAATAGCTCGATTAATGAACGCTTCTTTTCTCAAACAATTCAGTTCAAGAACAGAAGTGTTTGGCAAAATTTTGCTTCCATTCTCGAACTCCCCATCGGGTGACGTTGAACCTTATGGGGAAATTTGATTCGGTTTGTGACCAGTTCAGTTTGCGATCAGGGTCATGGAACAAATTAAGTTTGTGAACCAAGGTACCACTATATTTCCCAAACTTCAGTTGATGGAGTGTCCCATTTGTAATTTTTGCTCCTAAATAAATTTTTGTAGAAAGGAAACTGTATCATTACAATAACTGGAAAGCTCTTGCCCCAAGAAGGAAATTGGAAGGAAATACAGTAACTGGAGTTCATACAGATTTAGCACTATGTGGTATATGAAATGTTCTAAGCTCTACAAGCACAAAATTGCTTAATCCTCACACCAGCCTGCTAAGGTAGGTGCTGTTGTTATTTCCATCTTATAGAGTGGGAAGCTGAGGCCTAAGAAGCAAAGTGCCTCAGAGCATAGTTGAAGAGTTCTGGCAGGGAAGTGACTCAGATCCGGAGCTAGTGGCTGCTGTTGGAAGACCCTCTGCTCTGACTACCACCCTACTCCAGGACAGCCTTGAAAACTACAGTCACACTGCATCTGGCCACTGCCTCTATTTGTACTGTCCCCAGGCTAAGCATTTTTTTTTTCATTTTAAACAGTTGAGGAAAAATCAAAGGAAGAGTAGTATTTCATGATATGTGAATATTTCAAATTTCAGTGTCCATAGTTTTACTGCAACACAACTGAATTCATTCATTTACTTGTGATCTATGGCTGCTTTGCCTTTAGTTGTGACAGATCATGAGGCCCCCAAAGTCTAAAACACTCTCTGCCCTAGCAGAAAATATTTGCTGATACAATGTTTTAAAAATGTGACTGGACACTGTTGCTACAGCCTGTATCGTTGGAAAGGAAGTGTTGAGGAATCCGTATCTCCCACCACAGACCTCTCTGTGATTCAGTGACCAACTGAATAAGGAATACTTCAGACCTCAAGTGGATTCAACTTCACTATGTTACTCATTGGGCTCCTGAACTCTTAAAACATCTCATGGTTCGTGTGGATGTCTATCAACCCTGTGATATCTAAAACTTTGCTCAAAAGTCTATATTCCTAAGAGCTGGGTCCTTGTCTCTCCCAACGCAGAGAATCCCTGGGGATATAGTACTTCAGGGCTCTGGCTAGAAACCCCTCCACCCTGTCTGATGCTAAAGGGTCAATTTCCTTTTGGGGCTCCTTTCAACTGTGAGTTTCAGACTGTACTCCTCTGTGTGGCCAGGGAACATGCCTTTGATGTGAGGAGTTGAATCTGCTCAGCCCTGGCATATGTTGAACGGCAGCCCCATTACTGAAAATCGAATTTTGTTTTTCAAAATCTTTGCTAGAAATATTGAACTGGAACAGTGAATTAAATTTGCTCAAGTTTGAATGTGGTTTACTGTCATTCGGGCAAAATGGGTCTGCCTCTCTCCTGAATTCTACAATTCCCTGCTGCTTGCTTTGATGAGCCTTCCCAGAGAAAGCGATAACTTGCTCCGATGAGCTCATAATAAAAATGACCTCCATTTGCTAGTCACGTAAGCAGGTGGGATTGAATTTATTCCAATCCCAGAGCAAAGATGAAACACAGACTTCATTCCAGGACCTGGTCATTCTGTTTTTCTCCTCATTGTCCTTCAAACAAGGACAAATTGCATTCAATATCTCTGGTACCTGTTTTTCCTCACAGTTCCCAAGGCCCTCCAGAGCTGGCCTATAGATGTCTCCTAGCACAGAGAAGTTTAGCAACTTGCCCAACGTGGCCCAGCAGGTAATATGTGAAGCTGGAATTTGAATACAGGTCTAGCTGACTCTGGACCTGCACCTTCTCCACTTCAGGGCACCTGACGCACTGCTGAGAGCCTAAAGGGGCAGGGCCTGCTTGCCCACAGACGTGTACAGGAAACAACCTCTTGCACAGAGGTGAGTGACAGGGGTTGTGCAGCACTCTGACACATCTGATAGGGGGCCAGGCACTCCCTCCCTCAAACCTTTCAGTGGCTCCCTATTACCTGCTAGGTAAAATCTAAACTCCGGGGCCAGGCCACCTGTGCCCTTCCAAAGGTCTTCCCTTTTACACTGTCTACGCTGGCAGACTTTTTCTTGAAGGACTAGAGAGCAAACTTCGTAATAGGCTTTGCTGGCCACACTGTCTCCATTGCAACTCCTCAGCTCTGCCATTGTACTACGCTGTACCACGAAGGCAGCCACAGCAAGATGCAAACACAAGGGCATGGGCGTGTCCCCCAGAATATATTTATGAAAACAAGCATTGGCTGCATTCGGCTCAGGGACTGTCATTTGCTGACCATTAGGATGGATGAGAACCAGACAGATAAGCAGACCTAATGAGGAGGGTGCTGCTAATAAGAACTATAAATAATTAGCACCAAGCAAAAGAATTCACGTACTGGGGAACAGTGAGAACCCACCTGAGCTCTAATTATAAACAACGCGCACACAGGAGATCCAACTGCATTTCCTTAGCAGTGTGTTTTCCTTCCGAAACTCACAGAGCAGCATTTAGACTAGATGAAATGTAATTAAAGCCACAAAGAGATCTATGCTTATACAACTACTGCCTGGTTCAGCCCACAGTTAATTGAAGTCATTGGAGAATCGTTGGAAAGTGGATTTTGTTGTCCTCCTGTCTGGGGCCAGGGACCCTATTACTGTCGTTGTAATCAAGTCCTATGCTCCGTGGCTTTGGAACCATCTCTCAGTAGCTGAGTGGGTATTTAATTCCATTTGCTCTCTGGGGTAACTTTTCTGATATGCAGAGAGCAGCTGCTCTACCACCAAGGGTAATTTTGTTTAGCCAAAAGTCTCAGACGGCACATTTACCCTGCTATAAATTTCTTTGTTTTTCTTTATCATTAGAACCCCAAATATGAATAGTTTCTTGGTTTTCCTTGCCTTTGGTACCTGCTTCAAAACAACATACTATTTTCTTTTTTAAAGTCTTTTTATTGTGTGTAATTGATAAAATCATATATAGTTAAAGTATATAACATCGTGCTTTGAGATACATGTACATTGTGGAATAATTACTGCAAACAAGCTAATTAACACAGGCATCACCTCCCATACTTATAGCAATCCTTAATTGCTTCCCATTAGAAATATTTTATAATAGCACAAGTGAGAAGTTACTCTTAACCCTAAAGAGAAAAAAATGTGCTTGGCATCTCACTCCTAGGGACAGATGAAAATAGTATGTGAATACCATTCTAGATGATTTCCTGCTAGCTCTATATATCAATGCATTTTTGGAAATAAGTTGGCAATGCTGTGTATACTGAAATGGAGCGTAGCGAACAGTTCCTCACGCTGATAAGCCCATGTCAACATCCTAGCCCCTCTTTACCTGCCCTTACACTCCCCTCCCACTGCCTCCTTATTCCCCTCCTCTTGTCTAATAATAGCCTCCCTTCTACTCTCACATTATCTTTTATAGATTCCACATTTTAGGGAAAATGTGATACTTGTCTTCTTGAATCTGGTTTATTTTCTTAACACGATGGTCTCCAGTTCCATCTGTTTTCCTGCAAATGACAAAATTTTGTTCTCGTGGCTGAATAATGCTGTGTTGTGTGTATCATATACACCACATTTTCTTTAGCCTTCTCCTGTGGATGGGCACCTAGGTGGGTTACACACCTTGGCTAGTGTGCTGTGGTCTAGTAAACATGGGTGTGGAGGTATCTTTACAATGCCATGGCTTTATTAAGTTGTGGTTTTTTTTGGTTTTTTTGGGTTTTTTGGGTTTTTTTGATACCAGGGATCGAACTCAGGTCCTTGCGCTTGCACAGCAGGCAGCGAAACTATTGAGCTAAATCCCCGGCCCCTCAATGCCATGGCTTTAATTCCTTTGGGATACACTAAGGAATGCTGGTTCCAATTTGAGGTTTTTTTGAGGACCTTCTATACTGATTTCCACAGGGGCTGTACTAATCTACATTAGGCAGCGGTGGAGAAGGGTCCCTTTTCCCCTGCATCTTTGCCAGCATTTATTGTTTTATATATTCCTAATGATGGCCATTCGACTGGCATCAGATATTGAACTTTTTTTTCATGTACTTATTGGCTATTTGCACTACATCTATTTAGAAATATCTGTTTGTTTGACCATTTATTGATTGGGCTGTTTGATTTTTCGATGTCTAGTGTTTTGAAATCTAGATATATTTATGTACTCCAGATGTTAATCCTCTGTCAGAAGAGTAGTTGGCAATGATTTTCTTCCATTCTGTAGGCTGTCTCTTTACTCTATTGGTTGTTTCCCTTGCTGTGCCAAAACCCTTTAATTCGATGTGGTCCCATTTGCTGATTCTTGTTCTGATTTCCTGTACTGTTGGAGTCCTATTCAGAAGTCGTTGCCTGTGCCTATGGCGTCAAGTGCTTCTAGCAGTTTCAAAGTGTCAGGTCTTAGGCCTAGGTCTTTGATACATTTTCAATGGATTTTGTACAGGCTAAGAGATAGGGATCCAGTTTCAGTCTTCCAGATACGGATATCCAGTTTTCTCCGCACCATTTATTAAAGAGGCTGTCTTTTCTCCAACATATATTTTGGGCTCCTTTGTCAAGAATCAGATGGCTGTAGTTGTGTGGGTTTGTTTCTGTGTTCTGTAATCGATTCCATTGGTTTATGCATATATTTGGGGGCAAGTACCACACTGTTTTTGTTACTATGCTTTGCAGTATAATTTGAAATTGAGTATTGTGATGCCGCCAGCCTTGCTCTTTTTGCTGAGGACTGTTTTGGCTATTCAGGGTCGTTTGTGTTTCCATATAAATTTTAGAATTGGTGAAGAATGTCATTAGAATTTTGATGGGGAGGACACTGAATCTCTAGATCACTTTTGGTACTAGGGCCATTTTGGCAATATTCATTCTGTTGATCCATGAACATGGCAAGGATTTCCATTTTCGAATGCCTTCTTCAATTTCTTTCTCTAGAGCTTTCTAATTTGCTTTACAGAGGTCTTTCATTTCCTTGTTCAGGTTGATCCATAGATTTTTTTTGAAGATATTGTGAATGGAATTGTTTCCCTGATTTTTTTCTCAGTTTATTATTGGTATATAGAAAAGATATTGATTTTTTTAAGTGTTGATTTTGTATCCTGTAATAGACTGTTTTCTAGAACAGGTATTGGAATCAGATAGACGTAGGTTTAAAATCAAATTTAGTCATATATTATTCATAACTTGGGTGATTTGAGGAAAGCCCATTTAGCATCTCAAAGTTTGGAGTTCCTTCCCTGTAAAATGGGGACACCCCACCCCACCCCCTGATAAGGGTGAGCGCAGACATTTACAGAGTGCATTTCTGCATCAGGTACCTTGGAGAACACATACGCGCTGTTTCTTCAAACTGTCACGGGGACCCTGTGAAGCTGGGGTTATCTCCATTTGAAAGATGGGGAAACTGAGGCATAGGAGGGATCTCATTAAAGTCATACAGCTAATGAGTGTCAAAGCCAGGACTGAAGAGACTGATGAGGGAGTGGGACTTTGAGGACAGTGAAGAGACTATACATGGGTCAGAGCTTGGCTTCAGCAGGCACTCAGTGCACTGTCTGTTGAGTGAATTAGGGAAGTATGGCTCTTCGCTTTTTGGGCTCATCAGCCAATTGGCCAGTCAGTCTCTCTCTCTCTCTCTCTCTCTCTCTCTCTTTTTCTCTCCCCCACCCCGCTTCCCTTCTCCGCCCCCCCCTCCATATGGCTCACATAGTGAGACTGGGCCTGGGGGTGCCTCATGCCGGGAGATGCCTCTAATCCTTGAGAACCCCTATTGGGTCAGAGTAGAGCTCAGACAGAAAGAAAACAGGGAGGGCCGGGGATTTAGCTCAGTGGTTCTGCTACCTGCCTCGCAAGTGTAAGGACCCGGGTTCGATCCCCAGTACCAAAAAAAAAAAAAAAAAAAAGAAATGCAAACAGGGAACTGAAGACTTTGTGGGGAAAACAAACCTTTGTTCCAGAGGGCACTGTGGCACATCCATTATGTATGTTCAGCCACAGGTAACAATGGAATAATCCAGCAGTAACCTAAGCAACAAAAAATGCAGCAGTCTGGAGGTGGGTTACTCCAGGGTTGGTTTGGTGGCTTGACTGTGTCATCAAACACAGAGACTCTTTCCATTCTTCTGGTCCACCCTCCTGAATCTGCTGACCTTTCATCCTTGGTTTCTTGGTCACAAAATGACTGCCACAGTTCCCAGCATCTCATCTTCACACAACTTCATCTAAGGCAAGAAGTACGAGAAGGCCTCATCCCTGCTGCTACTTTTACAAGAGAATGAAAATCTTCCAAAAGACAAAAACCTCAGCATCTCCTCTTGTGCCTCATTGTCCAGTGCTGGGCCATACACCCAGCCCCAAACCATCCAAACCATCCAAAGGGGAATAAAATCGAGACACAGGGGCCGTTTGGGTTCATCCTCTTGGATTTGGGGTGGGGGGGGTGGCTCCCGTTCTTTGCCCCTGCATCACAGGCTCTGCACAAAACCCACCTTCTGGACTCTAAGCAAGAAGGAGAAGGACTAAGCTTCTGGGTGGGCAGGAGCCACAGCTGCCCCCAGGAGAGCTGTGGTGATGGGTGGGGAGAAGCAGGTCATGTAACTGCCTCCTTTTGCTGGCCCTAAAATAAAGTCCAGCTCACCTGGATTAGAGAGACCCCGTGTGGGACAAGCTTGAAGATCCAGCTCATCACTGAGTTCTCTAGGCTGCAGATGCACCAGTGCTCTGTGCCTCAGTTTTCCCACCTGTACATCGGGATGGATGCAGTACCTGCCCCCAGGCTTGCTGTGGGGATGACACGAGTGACACCACTTCCTATACCCTGCACATCCTGCGTGGTGTCTCCTTGTTATGGGGCCAGGCGGACATGTGTACCCAGGTCTGGGAGGGGCCCCGGGATGCGGCACCTTTGGCTGCAACCAGAGCCACCTGGGCAAAGCGAGCAGAGTGGCGGCTCCGTGGAGACACACGGAGAATGAAGTGGTGTCTCAGAGGCAGCCTGGAGAGTGACCCAGGTTGCTTGGCCCTGCCTGCTTCTTTGAGAGTTTTCTGGCCCGTATGGTCTGGTCCGCTGGAATTTTTCTAGAGTGTTCGGGCAGCCGGACTTCTATGTTAACCCTCTCTCCGAATTTTTACATATTCCAAACATTAAAAAACAATGCGTCATTCAAACAAAACCCTTCTGCAGACCTGGTTGGGCTGTCTCACAGCTCTTCCTCTCTCTTCTCTCCTCTGTCACTTCCACCTCAGACAGATGTGTCGTGCTTCTGAAAGATGCATGCTTCCTGCCTTCCTGGGGTCACTCCCACCCGGAACGCATTCCTATTTATTTTGTTCAGAAAATGCAAGATGGAAATTAAAGAAGAAAAATGCCTTTGTAGGTTTTGGTGGCTAAAAGATTTCCCAGTTATGGATTGGTCTATTCGCTCACTTGCAAAAGCTGTGTAATGTGGAATTAAACACGGGCAGGGGCGTGGTAGGAGAGCACGTCACAGGGCTCCGGGGAAATGAAAGTCATTCATCTCAGGTGAGTGTCCCCTGTGGGCCTGTTGGCTTGCTGCCCTCCCTTCACCTCTGCTGCCTTCCCACAGCTACAGCAGCTGCAGGCCTTACGCTTTTGCCAGAAATTTGCACACACAGACACACACCATCAGGGGCCTGCATTTAGGCTCTGGACGGTCAGATGTATGCCTGTGTCAGTGAGTACTTAGGTGACCCTAAGGGACAGCTCAAGGGGCCATAGAAAAAGTGTTGTACTGCTTGAGTGTGCCAGAGACCTTTTGCCAACATTTTCTGACATCTGTCGAGTCTCCTGTGAAAGTTCTCCCACCCTCCATCTGCTCCACACCGCCCCCTAGAGAAGCTACTCACGCTGGTGTCTCCAGTGCCAACAGATGCTAGCCGCAGTGCCTGACTCCTCAAAGGAGTGGAGTGTCTGGAACGGCAGCTGCGAGTCCAGTCCGGGTCAGCCTGGCCAGGGAACGTGTCTCTAAGGGAAGCAGCTCACCGCCCCTCGTCCCCTCCTGGTGAAAGAGGGGTGGGGAACAGAGGGTCAGGCCCCTTGGCCCTGGGTTTCTGGCTCCCTGGGTTTTCTAGGTCACATCTTTCATTCTCATCAAGTCTCTGCTTAGGGGCACTCTTCCTCAAGTTTCACATCTTTGCACCCAGCCTTCATGGTTTTGCCATATTTATGTATCATTCAGGTTATTGTTCGATTAACACTTTTATTTATATAAACTCAGTTACAGATGTGAGTTTATGTAAGTAAACTTAAAAGGGGACATATCACTACTGTAAGTAAAAAGCCAACATCATGTTCCATAAATAGGCGTTATGAATAGGAAATACAAATACAGTGAAAAGAATGCATTCTGTACTAGCCAATGCTGTGGCCCTGGGACCTGCCCCTTTGCTCACAAGGGGATCCAGAGGTGTGGGAGGAGGGTCCGGGCCTTCTGGCCCCATCTCAAGCCTTCTCTTCACTGACCTGGCTGCACTGAAGGAGAGAGGAGGAGCCACTCACCTGGGAATTGATGCCTCCACTACCCAAAGTCAGCTGGGCCCCACACTTGGGGGACAGCATCCCATTGGACACCGTGTCTGAGGTCTTCTGTGAGGTCCTCCTGCAGCTGGGAGCTCCAGGTCTTGCAGAAATGTCAGTGCTAGACCATTTTTCCCTGGGGCACTTTTTCTCAGTGTCTACTGGCTTTAGCATTGACTTGGACCCTCCAGGATCTGCTCTGAATAGCTTATCACATAGTCTACCAAGGGAATGCTTCTGTATGCTGAACTCTGTGAAGCCCTCGCCCTACCTTAGCTTCTCCAGCACCATGGGACAGTCTTTCAGATGGGAAGATATACCCCTGCCATCCCCCATCCCCCACTGCCCTCCACAGACATGGAAAGCACCTCTGCAGGCTGCTCATTCAGTGGACACACAGTATATGCTAAGTGCCCAGCACTGTGCATCCCTGCGGCTCCCCCCAGAGCAGAGGTAATCATCTCACCAATACAGAGCTCAAGCTTGACCATGACCTTTTCTTCTATTCAACCTAGGGCCTCACACATGCTAGGCAAGTGCTCCACCACTGAGCTACATCCCTAGCCTTTAAAAAATTTTATTTTGAGACAGGGTCCCACTAAGTTTCCCTGGCTGGTCTAGAACTTTTGATCATCCTGCCTCTGGGTCCCAAGTAACTGGAATTATAGGCATGTGCTATTGCCCCCAGTGTGACTCTATTATGTTAAGGCCATTTTTAACATACAAGGGTTCCTGTGCACCACAGGATGTTCTGCTTTTGCCAGTGGCTTATTTTGGCCCAATTTTCCTGCTGAGGGCGGTGGGGCGGGGGGAGGAAGAAAAGAAAATCTGTTGGAAGGTTTTGCAAAGCTGCTAAGGCTACCAGGATTTGAGGCTTAGACCCCAGAAAGAAGAGAAATCCTTGGCACCGAGCCGGGATTTCTAGCTGCTGGCCTCTGAGCATTTTCGGATTGGAGAGCAGAGGCTGAGATCAAGGGGCCAGGCAGAATTTCTGGCAGATCCCTAGCATGACGTTGCCATTCAGGACCTGCCAGGGAGGAGGGCCAGAAAACAGGATTTGCACAGGGACCCTAGAGAGCTGCTCCCAAGAAAAAAGGGAGAGCGAACCGAGCATGCTACAGAAGGACTGGCCCTCAGCTCAAGCATGTCAGTTCCTGGATTGGTCCTAACCTAGCTGTCTTCCAGAACTAGGGTCACTCTCTGGGAGAGATTGGAAGGTTGGTCTGTCCCTCCTCACATCCTGCTGCTCTGCCTTTTATCCAACAAAGTCACTCCCACCACGACTCACTGCAGGGAGAGCCCTGCGGCACTCGTGTTTCTGCCTGCCAGGCCGGAGCTTCTCTGATCTGATGCCCCAAACCCAGCCTTTTAAGCACACATATATATGCATTCCAGGAGTAAGAGGGAGTTGGGCCACCTTTGATCAATGAAGGATGTGATTTGGGGAATAAATGCTTCCCATTCTTTGGCAGAAAACTTGGAGTTACAGCTTTACAGCTTTTTCTTTTTTACTTTTTCAGGGATTGGCTGAATCAGTTGCCAGCTGCCCATGATAGTGACCAGTTCCAGCATGAGCTCTCTCTCTCCCTGTTGTAATCTACTCAGAACCCCACTCCTGTAAACGGATAGAAAAAGAGCAACAAAGCTGCTGGCGTGGCTTTGGTTCTATCAAAGTATATTTTTAGATAAAAATACTACTAGCAACAAGGAGGGACATTCCATAATGGTAGAAAGTATAATTCATAAGGAAATTGTGGCAGTTTCAAATCTGCATAATGAAAGTCTACATAAAAGTCTCCTTGAAGTCTGTATCTAATAACATAACTTCAAAGTCAACAAAACTAGAAAGGAAATAGACAAATCCACAATCATATTATGGAACTTTAATACACTTACATCAAAAAACAAGGGCTTTAAATATTTGATCAACATGATTAGTAAAATGACCTACTTGATAGTAGTGTATGTAGAACACTCTATCCAGCAGCTGAAGAATACACATTATTCTCAAGAGCTCCTGGAACACTTAACAAAATAGGCCATATGTTGGGCCATAGGACATGTTCCAACAAATTCCAGAGAACAGAAATCACACAGATTTTGTTCTCTGACTACAGTAGACTTAAGCTTGACATCAAGCCAAACATAACTAGAAAATGTCAATATGTGTGGAAAACAAGTAACAACACACTTTTAAATAACTGATGAATCAAAGGAGAAATTGCAACAGATATTAGAAAATGTCTTCGGCTGAATGATAATGAAAATATTACATATAGAAACTTTCAGGAATTTTGACTCTGGCCATAATAATAAATTTAGACAAAATGGAAAGATTCCTAAAATCAACCAGCCAAACACACAAAAAACAAATCAGAAAACAAGAAAAAGATAAAAATATAAAGTCTTTTACTGTTAAGGAAATTGAACTGAATTGAAAACCATTTCACAAAGAAATCTTCAAATAGGTCTAGATGGTTTTCCTGGAAACATTTTCAAACGTCTGTGGGAGAAATAGCACAAATACTATGCATATTCTTCCAGAGACCACACAAAGATATAATATTTCCTAACTCATTTTAGGAAGCTATTATAACCTTGATAACAAAACCTAACACAAATATTACAAGAAAAGACAATTGTGGCCCAATCTCCCTTTTGAGTGTTGGTACAAATATTTCAAATATATTTCCATGCCAGATCTGTGTCATGATCAATTGTACATAGTCAAGAAATGCAAGGTTGGCTTAATATTGTACAGTTTCTCATATTAACAGAATAAAGGCATACAATTGTGCAACTATGTCAATACAAGCCAAAAAAACTTTTAATAAATTTAAACATCCATTTTTATCAAAATCTCTACCAGAGCAGTAGAGGAAAATGTCCTTAATCAGAGAAGGTGTGTCTACAAAACACTTGATTAAATGTTGGAGGATGCTTGCTATTGTGACTGGTACACAACATTGTCCACAAGGCCCCAGCCAGTACAATAAAGCAAGATAAATAAGATGAATAAGAATTGGAAAGGAAGAAAAGAAACCATCAACAGATGACACATTTGATGAATGAGAGTATGCAGAAAAATCTTCAGATAAATTATTATAATAACAAATGAATTTCATCAAAGTCCCTGGGTGTAAGATCAATACACAAAAATCATTTGCATTTCTATGTAACACTACAAAACAGTTCTAGAATGAAAAATTTAAAACAACGCCATGAAAATCAAATACCTAGGAAATAATTTAATGATGTTTAAGAGTCTATGAAGAAAACTATAACATTGGAGAGGGAAATATTAAAAGATACAAATAAATGAAGAGATCAACTGTATTTGTGAGTTGGAAGAAGGTTCTATATTGTGAAGATGTCAATTCTTCCCAAGTTAATCTACAGGTACAACACAATCCTCACAATCTTAACAGTTTTTTTGTGTGTGTATGGGAATTAATAAGCTGATTCTTAAATTTACATGAAAATGTAAAGGCACAGGAACAACCAAGATAATCTTAAACAGGAACAAAGTTATAGAGCTTATACTCTTGGATTTTAAAATTTTATTTACAAGTAACAATAATGATGAGAGTATGCTATTGGCACAGGATAAACAAGTACATCAATGGAAAAGCATAGCAAGTTATAGAGGCAGACCCACAAATACAACTATTTATGACAAACGTGGCCTTTCTGAGTAATAGAAGAAGGATGATCTTTTCAATAGATATTTCTGAGTGAATCAGCTATCCACAGGCAAAAGTAATAAAATTTGACCACTACCCAGAAATAATCAGTTTCAGATAGATTTTAAATCTGAATATGAAAGATGAAACAACAAGGATTTTAGAAGATAACACAGGAGAATAACTTCATGACTTTGGAGTAAGGAAAGATTTCTTAAGTAGCGCACAAATAGTATTAACTATAAATGAAGGATCTGTAAATTAGAATAAAAAAAGAATATCAATGACCCAGTTCTCAACTTCATTGATCATCAGGGAAATACAAATTAAATTCATAATGAGACCCTACTGTAGATCCACTAGAATGGCTAAAAGGAAAAGGAGTAACAATACTAAGTGTTGGTGAGGATGTGAATCACCTGGATTCAAACAACCACTTTCAAAAATTGTTTGGCAGTATTGCTCCAAGTTAACACACACATATCATCTGGCCTAATAGTTTCCTTTCCCAGTACATATTTGATAGTTTATTATTTATTTATTTTTAATTTATTTGATAATTTATTTTCTTCTGTTACCTGCTTATGGTTAACACAGTGTATTAACTTTGTGATAATTCAGTAAGCTGTACACTTAGGACTTGCCCACTCTTCTATACACGTGTTATGCCTCAATACAAAATTTAAGTATCAACAAGAAATAATAAATCTTTGGAAAAGTAATTTCATTTAGCAAATATTCATGTGAAATGTTTATATACAGGTCCCTTCCTGTAGGTGCACAATCTGTGTGCGTGTGTGTGTGTGTGTGACAGCAAACAAAGTTACAGTTTTGCTCCTGATTGGCCATGCGAGGTGCCGTGGGAGCTTGTGAGAAGCCCCTCACCCCCGTTTCTGTAGGAGATGGTGTCTCTGATAAGAACTGAAGGATGACTGGGAGTTAAACAGGGGAGAGAAGGAGGGAAAAGCCAATGGAAGGGCCCCTAGGGGTGAGAGTACAAAGAGCATTTGAACCAAAGTTCACTGTGGGAGAGTGAGAGAGAGAAAGGAGTAAAGACAGGGGCCAAATCCTGCAGATTCCTAAGCCAGGCCAAGGAGGGGAATAGGGAGCCATGGAAGGATATTAATGGGAGAGGTGTGTGCATCAGATTTGATTCTTGAACACATGACAGTGGCCTCTGGATGGCCAAGGGTAGAGGTTCAGAGACAAGGGGACAGATGTTGCAGACAGAAGAGGCACGGGAGGGTGGCAGGGCAAAGAAAAAGATTTTGGATCAGGACCAGGTGTTGCGCTGGCTTGAGAGGTGGTGAGTCTGACTGATGAGGGTCGACAGCAACAAGTCCTTTCCTCCAGCAGGGCGTGGGGTGCCCGGTGCCATGCCGCATGCACCACCTCGCTATAGCCCTGCTGTGTCCACGTCCTGTCTACAACCAGGCCCCAGAGAGGCTTCTGGGGTGAGCAAAGCCTGACACTGTAGAAGCATCCTGACAAAATCATCACGGTGTCAGCAAGAGAGCTGTGAGCAGAAATTGAAATTCAATCCAAGCCCCGCATTCAAACTAGGGAGCGAATTCAAGGACTCCAAGTCTCCTGTGGAGTCTGGGAGTCACTTTGAGACCTGCATCAACCCCTCCAGAAGCCAGGAACTGAGCATTATGTGGTCTGGGTAATTCGGGATCACCATCAGTTCTGTTCTGGAACCTGTCAGCAGCAATGTCTGGGATGACCATCTGCTGTTGTGACCAGCCCAGCCCACACGGCCTCTTCTGGAAACAGCATCTCAGTGTCCTTCTGGGGAACCCTCCCTCCTCATGCTCAGCCCATTTGGCTCTGGTGGACCTGTCCCTGCCCAGCTGCAGGTGATAGGGGGCGGGCTGCAGCAGACCAGGCTTAGGCACTTGTGGAGAAACAAGGGTCTTCTCACAAAGTTCTGGGAGGATTGGATTGGTCCCTTCGGGGTCCTGTGCCCACCCATGTCCAATCACTACAGCTGGCCAGGCGGAGCACTCTGATTGCATGGACTTGGGTCACATGACACCCCTCTGCCAGAGGGGTTGGGGTGGCCTCTCACATTGCAGCACCTGGGGATGGGCTCTCAGACAGTCAGGGGAGGATGCTGGGTGACCTCCATCCCTGCCTCAGCTCCCATCTCCAGCTTTACTTCCCCCTCGCCTCTATATTTTTGTCTTCCCAGCTGCTGCCTCCCTTCTGCCAGCATCTCTCCTCACTATGCAGCTTGGAGGGACCGTCACTCAGGCTTCCTGGCCTCTCTCACCAAGGCTGGACACAGGACTGACTGAGGCTTGGCTGGGCTTTGACTTCAGGCCCAAAGTGGCTGAAGCTTCCAGGCCTGGATGAAGCTTGCGGAGGAGCTACCCCATTCAGGAACCCAGCTCTGAGGGCCCACTGTGGTCCTTGCTTTCCCCAAATCGCTCCTTAGTATACCTGTCATCTTTGGAGCCAACCCAGATCCCCTTAAAAGATCCTTAACAGTTTAATCTTTAAAAAAAAAGCGAGGTAAAATTTATAGGACATAAAACTAACCATTTTAAAACGTGCAATTCAGAGGTCTTTAATACTTTTACAATGTTGTACAACCACCACTTCTATCTAGTTCCAAATGATTGTCATCCTCCAGAGGAAGCCCTCTCCACAGCCCTGGCAACTACAAATACTTCCTGTCTCCATGGATGAACCTGTTCTGCACATTTCATGTAAATGCAAGCATGCAGTGTGTGACCTTGGGCTGACTTCTGTCCCTTAACTTAATGTTGTTATAACAGTGTTTGTAAGGCTGAACACTGCTCCTCAGTAGAGATGCTACATTTTGTTTGAACAGTCATCAGTGGAAGGACAGTGGGGTTTGCACCTTTGGGCTATTGTGAATCATGCTGCTATATCCACAGTCTTTCCATACATTTATTTTTTCACTTATGTTTGCCAAAATTGGCTTCTGTTGGTGGCTGCTGAGAAGCACTTGCTGAAGCAATGTCAAAGACACTTTATTTTTAGGGCTCCAGAACACACCATACAAGGAAGGAAGTAAACAACGTCTTCTCTGATGCAGTAGGACCATCAGCTAGGCCTCTGTTCCCGGAGGACTTCTGTGAACAGACACTGAAAGCCAGGGCTGGTGCCACCACTCAGGGCCCCCTGAGAGGGGCTGTTTGGTGACCACTCCGTGGCGAAGGTGAGCCGTGGAGGCGCTCCTCCAAGGGTGGCATGGGAGTGTCTTCCATTTTCACCCATCCTGTCTGGCATGGGAAGGAGCTGGGCAAGTGTCCCCACCAGGAGGCTGGATCGCTGCAGCTCTCCCTGGCGGTTCCTGCAGCAAAGACAGGGACAAAGATTGGAGAAGCAAAGCTTTTAGGTGTTGGCTCTAACCCAGGTGATGAATGACAGGAGCAAGCAGGTCTGGGCAAGATGAAAAGACACCAGCAGCTGCCACCCATGGAGACTTCCTGCACTCAGCTCTGTGTGCTGTCTTGGTTACCTGCACAGCAGCCCCAGGGAAGGCCTGGGCTTCCTTGCTCCACAGACAGAACGGGGTGCAAGGAGGGCCCTGCTCACTTGTCCCGGTCACAACAGGAAGTAGCAGAGGTGCTCAGCACCTGGCCGCCCAGGTGTCTGCCTCCTCCTGCTTCACAACTGTGCTCTCCAAGGGCATCTCTGAGTTTCCTCCTGGAAGGACCAGGGCTCTGCCGGCAGGAGCCAGTTCTCAGAAGGAGCACTGTTGTTGGGTTGCTCACCAGCTGTGCAAATTGGGCAAATGACTTAAACTGTCCGAGCCTCAGTTTTCTTCATCTGTACCAAGGGACCAATAGTAGGCTCTTGCCTATAGGATTACTGTGAGGGTTGGGCTCATGTTTGCAGGGGGCGTCGTAAACCATGGTAGCTCTGTGGATAATCTCATACCCACAGGCATCTGGTACCAATGGTGATGTTCAGCAACTTCATGTTTGTTAAACACCATTCATTCATTCATTCATTCAGCCACTCATTCATTCACAGTTGGGAGTTGTTTTGCTTAGGGTCTGCGGGGAAACAGAGGAACTGTCCCGCACATCCTTATGCGGTGGGCAGCTGACATTTGTGACTCCCCCTCTTATTGTGCCAGCAGACTAGTGACGTTCTGAGGCTGCGGCCTTTCCATCAGGTAGGTGTTGGTGGACAGACAGGGTGTGGGTTGGGTCTGGGTCTTTGGTGCGCGCTGTCTTCCGCCTGGGGTTGTGAAGGTGGTTAAGGGGAGCTGGAAATTTCATGGGCGGTCCTTCCTGCCACCTCCTGTGGAGACCTGTTGTCTTAGTTACTTTTCTTATTGCTCAGACGAAATACTCGACATCCAAAGTTAAGGGAGGAAAGGTTCATTTAGCTCACAGTTGGTAGAGGTTTCGGTTCATCATCGGCTGACTCCAAGGCAGGGTGGCACTGCAGAGGAGAAAGTTCACGGCGGACAAGAGGTGGCAAAGCAACGAGGGCTGACCACAGCTCTTTCTGTCCCTTATATCTTATTGAGGCTACTTAGGGCGGGTGGCACTCACACCCTTAATCCTAGTGCCCCTAATCCTAGCATTGCACCATGAATCAATCCCAGCAAAATACACTCTAGGTCCAGCCACAGGTCACCCACCTGTGACCACATGAGGCTCTGAGGGGACAGGCAGAGCGAGAAGCCTGAGCACCTGGATTCCTAACCTTATGGGACCCCCCGAGGACAGAGGCCACAGCCCCTTTAAATAATCAACCCAGATCCAACAGGGCTTCTACCTGTGTGCCCTCACCAAGCAGTGAGTGGGCAGGTTAGGATTTTATTGCAAAAGGAAGAAGGACGAGCTGTCTACCTGACTATGACCCTGCCTGCACATCCAGGTGAGTATGGCTGGCTTGTGCTGAAGAGTTAGTCTGTACCTGTGCAGACCTGGGGTTAATTCTGCCTGCCAAGTCCTAGCATAAGCACGGGCCAATCCTATCTCCTCTCCAGGCCTCAGTCTTCCCATCTGTAAAATGAATGCCATGGGCCCATTGCCCCTTAAATCTTGTCCAGTCTTACATGCTGTGAGTTTAAGATTAGTATCCTTGCTGTGGCTGGAGAGATAGTAACAAGGAACCAAGAACACATTGGTGCATCCTCGGCTAGTCTCAGCCTTCTGTTTGTGATGAGAGAGGCGGGAGGCCAGGGCCTGTGGGCTGGGGAAGCGGGTTCTTATGTGGAGGCCACAGCAGCCTCCTGCAGATGTGTAAACATCTGTAATGATTCAGCCTGCCGCACTGTCTCACAGGTGGCCATGGGGCTGCTCACCGAATGCCAGAAGGGAGATGAGAAAAAAACGTGCTTATCTGGTGATTGGAGGTCGGCTTCGAATCAGCCACAGACACAGGCCAGGGCTTGAAGCTGTTAATTTGGACCTCAGGTGGCTTTAGGCTGCAGGAGCAGCAGCCAAGGCCACAAATAAACAGATGCAGAGAGCCAGCTGGGGCTCCTCTGCCCTTCGGGTACAGACATCTCCGAGGTGGAGATGCAAAGCTTATACAAACAGCGAGGTTTTAAATCATCAGTCGGACCCATCTTCCTGGCACCCGTTACACTATTGATTGGTTGATTGCATTTTTAATGGAGAAAAGCATATTTATTGGGGCGTGTTTGCCTACCAGTGGGCAAAACTCTAACAGTGGCTACAAAGGGTAAGCAAGTTTGCGTTTGTCCATCAAGAAGTCTAGGAGTCAGAAGTGCGAGGATCCCTCATATCATAACAATGACATCAGGGGTCAGGCCTCTTCTTCACTTCTGGGTTGAACTTTCGTCCTTGGATTTGTCATCACATGGCCATAAGAGGGTTGCCACAGTTCCAGGCATTGTGCCCCTCTCCCCCGGCATTCAAGGAGGAGGCTGGGCAGAGGCAAGGAAGGGGTTCTTCCTTTAGAGGTCTTTGCCTTGTGATCAGAGAGGATTCAATTTGTAACAGCCTTTGAGGAGGCTTGCTTGTATGGCTCATAGGCCAGAAGTGGGGGTTGCATCTCACCTCAGGTTGTATGGGATCCTGGAAAAAATGCTAGTGCAAGGAGACAGAGGAGAAACGGGCTGGTCAGGTGGCCCAGGGTCACTGGTAGTAGGGCAGAGACGATATCAAGTCCCCCGATGTTCTATACATTTGTCCATGGGGTGTGGAATCAAGGCTGCCTTGGAGACCACCAAGCCTCTGGTTCTCCTCTCGGAGTCATGGTTACTCATCATCTACCCACGAGTACAAGGCAGAGGCTGAAGTCTGGAGCAGAGACCAGAACGGAATCCAGTGAGAAGGAATCTGTCTTCTCCTTCTGTGCCTAAACATTTCGGACCCAACTCCTTCCTGATACAATAAAACCTGCAGGATCAAAGCATCTCCCCAAGTGTGCGTCACCGGACCCCTCCTGTCCTGCCCCTGCTGCTTCAGTTGGGCTGCCTCAGTTGGACCGCACAGTTGTAAACAACTTCAGAATCTCCGTGGCTCCGCTGGTGTCCCACTCACGTGGTGTGCAGTGGCTTGGGCACCTCTCCAGGGAAGCTGCTGCCAAATGGTGATCTCCATGCGTTTCTAGCCACACGTAGCCTCTGGGTCCCAGTGGCAGGGAAGGGACATGTGGGCTCATGTGCTGACTCCTCCATGCTTTATCTAGGATGGGGCAAGTCTCACCTTTGCTTATGGCCCTAACACCAAGGGGTTGTGTAACCAGAAGGGGTCACATGACCACACTTACTACTGAGGGGCCAGGAAAGCAGGGGAACACAGGGAAGTCAGGGCATTGTCTCCACACCTGTTCTGCATGGCTCTTTCCCCTCCCACTCCTGCCCTTCAAGTCAAATCCTTACCAGACCTCTGAGCTCCCCAACCCAGCCCAGGCTCCAGGGATACCAAGGCACTTGTGGTCCTGGCAGGGGGCTTTCCTGAAGCTTATTTCATTGCCTTTGCAGGTGCTGTCCTGCTGTGCCTTCCCCTGGACCCTTGTGGCTGATTCCTACACATCTTTCATGTGGTGGTTGGTTGTAGGTAGTGTTTAGACTGGGCTAAGAAGCAGCCAGCTAGCTAGTAAAACATGACTTTTGATTGCCTTGAAGGTGCTTCGGGAAGACATCACTTGGCTTGGTGGACTGAGTGAAGCAGATGACTCTCCCAGGTGGGTGGGTTGTGTCATCCACTCTGAATAGAACAAAAAGGCACAGCAAGGGCTCATTGTCTCTCTGTTTGGGAGGTGACATCCATCTTCTGCACCCAAACATTGGTGCTCCTGGCTCTTGGCCTCTTTCTGAGACGCACACACTGCCACCCACCTCGTCTCATGCCTTCAGCCTCAGAGTGGGACTCACACCACCAGTAGCCTGGTTCTCAGGCCTCTCGGACTTAGGCTGAAGCATACTGGCTTTCCTGGCTCTCCAGCTTGCAGAAGGCTGGTCAGGGGACTTCTTGGCCTCCGTAATCACTGGATCGATTCATGTAATCAATCTCTTTCATGTTCAGTTGTACTTTCTGTCCAGGGTTAGGCGTTTTTCACAGCCTGCTACAGGCCCTGCATGTGCTGACTGGCACCTCACCCCCAGCACTTTATCCTGGCTCCAGCTACACTGTCAGGAAGGCGACTTGGTCTTGAAGGTCAGTGAATGGCCGGCACCCCACAAGGAGCTTACACGCAGGAGGTGCATGATGGCCACCCACTTGGGAAAACAGCAGTGAGCAGACTTTTATTTCCTTGGACTCAAGTCCTGTCTCAGAAAACACGGACTGAGATAAATGAGCTTCATTAGAAGTCCTTCCAGCAACAAATGCAGCTTCCCATGGAAGTATGGCTGTCATGGAATCAGAGAAGACTTCATTAGAGAGGACAAGAAGTTGTCCCACCTCAGCTCTGCCACCTAAAGTGGCTCTGGAAAGAGTCACTTCACTGTTTTGAACCTCATGGATAAACTGAGAATTGTCCTACCTGCTCAGAAGTCTAGTGACGCAGGACTGTGATGGCACCAGTGCCATGTGGGCAGATGTGCTCGCGATAAGAGGTATTGTTATTAAGGCTTATAAATATTGCTGCTTATTAAACAATAATAATACTAGCGCTGAAAGGGTACTTAAAGTAGGAACTTAAAGTAAGACTGCACCTGGCCCGGGAGGCCTCTGACTCCTCAGCCAGCTTGAGTGTGACCTCTGTGGCCTGGGGACCTCACTTCTGCAGTGACGCACCGGCAAGTGTTTAGGAAGGCTTGGTGGGGAGGCTATGAGGTAGTTCTAAGTCTGGATTGCTAAGTTAGACTCTCAGCTCCGCCACGACCCAGCCTCTCCTCACCTCGTCTTCTGCTTTGTAAAACAGCTAACCATAGTGCTTACAACTCGGTGGTTGTGGGGGAACAGAGTGAAACATGAAACACTGAGGAAGTGCTTGGACCACAGTGAGCATGCAGGAGATGTCACGGTCATTGCCATTACCACACTGCGACAGGCAGTGGGGATCCGGTGGCCCCTCCCTTGTGGAGAAAGCAGCAGCCCCAGCCTGGTGGTGCCTGGGAGAGGAGTTGGCCTACTAGGCTTGCAGTTCTGGCCTCACCTTCCTGCTGGCAAGAGCGGATCTGAACAATGTGTTCTCTGTCTCAGCCCTGGGGCAAGTGGCTCAGCTGGACACCAGCGCGCCCAGGGCCAGGGTGGCATCTGTTGTGTGCCGGTTCCTTTTCCCCATGGAAGCCGAGGTAAAGCTGAGAGTTGGGAGGAGGGAAGGGAGCTGCACAGAGCCTGGAGAGGGTGGAGAAGGAGAGCTCCACTGTGGCCCAGCAGGAAGTGTGGAGTGAGAGGGGAGAGAACTGGCGGCCAGAAAGCAGTGCCGCATGTTCATGTTCGCATTCACTAGACCAGGGTTCACGGGGCCCCTCCTGTGTGCCTGCCTGGGACCCAGTGGTGCAGACAGACTTGGCTGACAGTTTAGCCTTTGGCCCAGGGGAATGGGGAATGAGGAAGGATGTCATGCAGAAAGAGGGAGTGGGCAAATGCGCCTTTAAAAAAAGATGGGGAGGCTGAGTCAGGGAGGGCTTGGATCCCAGCACAGACACATAGGGAATCATGTGGCCAGGTCCGAATACGGCTGTCATGACAAAGGGTGATCCTGCAGCCCTCAGTCCTTTCCCTCCCTCTCCCTCACTCCTCAAGGGCCCGTTGGGAAGGTGGCCATGTAAAATATAGGACACCCAGTTAAACTCCAACTTTCAATAACCAGGTTTCTAGTGTGTTTCCATCCAGCACGAGGCACATACTCATCACCTGAGTCTGGTGCCCCTGCCCCCCGGGCCTCAGCCCAGAACTGCCACAGCGCGTGGTGAAGCACGGGCAGGGCCTTGGAAGAGCAGAGGAAGGCGAGACACAGCTGTTGGCACCAGGGAACTCCAGGACACCTCGAATAGCTTCTTCGGTCTTCCTGGGGTGGCCTTGGCAAAGTGTCCCCTCTGTGCCTGAACAGGGGTGGCAGAGGCCACCCTTGCTTGGGTGCTGGCTTCAGGGCTGGTATGGGGCCGGCAAGTGGGCCGTACAGTGGATGTTGAGCACAGGCCTTTGGGAGTCCAATGTGTTTTGGTGCAAGTCCTGATTTTACCACTGTTAACTAAACAAAAGACCGACATGCAGGTCAAAGAAATAGCGTTTCCTTGGAAACAAGAACTGCAGTTCAATACCCCAAGTCAGAGCACCCCAAATAGCCTCCCAAAGGGCAAGTGCAGATGAGAGTTTTAAAAGGAGATTTCCACAAAAAGTTGTTTTCAGAGGCCTTATTGGCTGGGCAGAGGTCCTGACCCGTGGACCCATTCTGGTGGGCGAGTTAATTAGAGTTCTCCCAGCTGGGAGGTGTTAAAGGCTGGCGGATCCTGACCTCAGCTGTTTGTCCAGGTCTGCTGGGACACGCTGTGGTTTGATCTTTAGCAGGTGTGAATTCAATCCTTTTGCAATCTCCTGGCTCCCTTTAGAAACCCTTAGCCTTAGTTACTTTTCCTTCACACCACCTGCCGCTGCCGCGTGTGTGACCTCAGGTGGCTGGCTGTTTGTTGAGGGTCAGAGCTGAGCTCCTGGGCTTCAGTTAGCCAAAAGGAGCTGATGAGTGTGAAACACTTGGCTCCCGAAGCTGGCACGGGACTGCACATCCAGAGGCCAGCCTGTCCTGCCACCGTCTCCATGATACCATGAGGAGCCGAACTCAGAGGGTGGAGTCTGAGAGTGGCAACCAGTACCTGGCAGAGCCCCACCATCCCCTGGACCTGGATGCTGAGCTCCAACCTCCTTCTAGAGAAGGGAACAGCTGCCTAGAAGGATTCTCGCACTCGGAGCCAGTGGACTTCTTTAGGAAATTGAAACACTGATTACAAGACCAATGCATATTCATTGAAGATAATTTAGAAAATGCAGTTTGCCAAAGGAAGAAAATAAAACTCACCAGCATTCTCACTACCCAGAGATAGCTACAGCTGCTGGGCTGCCGTGTGTAATTTAAGACTTTGAGGGAAAATTTAAAAGACCAAGATTCCTGAGCTGCTCTTAGGCATGGCCCAGACAGGGCTTCTCCGACTAGTGCCACTGAGGTCCTGAGCCAGGGGGGCTTTTTGCTGCGGGCCACCTGTGCACTGCTGATGCCTGGCCATAGCCCTGCCTCTGCCCACCCTATGGCAGCACTACCCCTCCCCGACGGCCATGCTGGTCCTGGCCGAACATGGCTGGGGCTGGAGGAAGAGGCTCTGAAGTTAGCCATGCCTGGCTTTTCATCCCAGTTTGGGTATAGACTCAGGCAAGTCAGCTAAGGACCAGGGGCTTCATGGTCCCCATTGTGAGACAGGGGGACCAGCAGGCAGAGCAGATGTGGCGGGGACACAGAGAGCACTCAGTATGATGGAGCTGCTGTTGGCATCAGCACCTGGTAGATGGTGGCCTTTTTGGTGAGGTCCAATTTCACAGAACCCAAAGAAGTCAACCACAGAACTCACGTGTGCTTTGCTCCTGAGCAAGACATGTCGCTTGTCTCCTGGCATCTCTGGGAGCCAACAGGAGGCTAAGAGTGTGGCTCTGGGCCTGGCCAGCCTGCTTCTGTGACCCACCTTTGTCCCCAACTTGTGTGACATCAGGTAAGTCACTGGATATTTCTATGCCTCACTTCCCCCATCCATAAAATGAAGTCAATGGGACTCTTGAAAATGAAATGGGCTTTCCCAATACAGTCTATGCTAATATATATTAGTATCACGTGTGGGAGATTAGGTGTCAGAGACCTGCCCCCCCCCAGGCGGAATCCTGGCTTCAAGAGAGACACTGAGCAAGAGGCCACCTCCAGGCCACACATGTTTGCTGTCCTTTCTGCCCTGCAGCTTGTGAGTAACACGTGGCTAGCCTCGAGATCTGGCACACTCGAGTTCACTCCCTGAGGGAATTTCAATTTCAGAACATCCAGAGCCAGGTGTGGTGGTGCTCATCTGTAATCTCAGCACTCTGGGAGGCTGAGGCAGAAGGATTGCAAGTTTAAGCCCAGCTTGGGCTACATAGTGAGACCCTGTCTAAAAAAAAAAAAAAGGAAAAGGACACTGGAAACAGAGCTCAGTTTGAAGGCCCTGGGTTTGATCATCAGCACTGGGGGGGAAAAGCCATTGTGTCCTGGGAGCTTGCAAGTGTTTGTTTATTGTGGCTATTTATATATGATGTGTATATCATACATATATATTTAAACCACTTTGAGCATTAAATACATTGTGCAACCATCATTACCACCCACCTTCAGAACCTTTTCATCTTCCCAAACTGAAACTGTCCCCGAGACCCTAACTCTTTACCCTCCCTCCTCCCCTCAGCCTCTGGCCCAGAACCATCCTATCTCTGTGACTTTGAGTTTTTCAGGTACATTGTATATGTAGAATTGTGAGATATTTGACTTTTTATGTCTGGCTTATTTTAGCATAATGCTTTCCAGATTCACCCATGTTTCAGCATGTGTCGGATTTCCCTTTGTTTTTAAGGCTTCATATCTCGCACTGTATGTATAGATTACATTCTGTTTAGCCATTCATCCATTGGCTATTTGGGTTGCTTCTGCCTTTTGGATTCTGTGAATAATGATACTGTGTGAACGTGGTGTGCAAGTTGGGTTATTCACCTAGAATCAGAATTGCTGGGTCACAAGGTAACTCTGGTTAGTTTCTTTGAGAAACAGTCATACTGATTTCTGTAGTGCTTGGTTCATTTGGCATTCCCCCCAGCAACCAGTTTCTCCATGTCCTCACCAACCCAGATGTTTTATTTTGTTTCAGTACTAGGGATTGAATCCAAGGCCTTCACCTTGAGCTACAGTCTCAGGCCCTGTCTTTTAAAGTTTTGAGGCAAAGTCTTTACTAAGTTGCTTAGTTTCCCAGGTGGGGCTGAAACTTGTGATCTTCTTGCCTCAGGCTCCCCGAATCCTGGGATCACAGGTGTGCACCACCACACGATTCCCCATGTGTTTTAATCCAACTCAGGTGTTTTATCTAACTCAGGTGCCCTTTGGACTTTTACACCCTGAAGGTAGTATAGTGTGCATATGGGAGGAATCACTCTTTGTGAGTGTTCTTTGTCTTTCTGAAGAGCTCTGACATCTCCAATGACCTGTTGCATGTTTGAACTTCACATCAGTACAGCAAGGTGGACAATGCTGAGCTCACTTTTTTCTTTCAGTCTGTCTTTCCTTTCAGAGACAGGGAGAGGCAGATGAGCCAGCTTAGTGAGTCTAGAAGCTCTGGAGCCAGAAATCAGGTCTCTTGACCTCTTTGACCTTTCTTCTAGAGCAAGTGGTTTTCCCACTGGGTTCCCTGTTCCCAGTGGGTTGCTCCGGTTTGAAGGACTTCAAGCCTGCTTGTGTGCACAGAAGCAGCAGCATCCTATGAAACTTCTTAAGCTGGCTGTTCTGGTTTGGATCTAAAATGTCCCCCTAAAGGCTCATGTGTTCAGAGGTGGGGCTTTGGAAGGTGATGGAATCACCAGGGCTTTAACTTCATTGGATTAGTTCACTGATGGATTTATAATTTGATAGTATTTTGGGGAGGTGATGGAACTTAGGAGGTGGGATCTAGGTCAAAAGAGTGGGTCATGAAGGCTTGACCTTAGGGGCCATATCTTGCCCTGGGACCTGGCTCTCTGGCTCTCTTGCTGTCTGCCTCCTGGCTGCCCTGAGGTGAGCAGCTTTCCTCTGACACGCCCTTCCACCATGATGTTTCTGGCTTGTCGAAGACCTAAAAGCAATGGAGCAGCTGACCATGGACTGAGCCTCTGAAACCATGAGCCAAAAGAAACTTTTCCTCCTTAAGGTTGTTTTCTTCAAGTGTTTTATCACAGTGACAGAAAGCTGACTGACAGACCAGCCTTGTCCTGCTCAGTGAGTTGCTCACCTGCACATCAGACACTGAAGGGAGCAGAAAATCTCCCACAAGTGCCCTCCCTGTTCTGGAGTGAGGCCCTCTGCCTTCACCTGGAAACAGAGAATTCAGGTGGCAAAATCTCTGTTTGAGGGACAAGATGTCACATCAAGCCTCTGTCTTCTCTATCACGTATTTCATAAGATGATGCCAGCAGGGCAGTTTGGAAGATCAATGCCAGTTTGGGATTTACATAACTTTCTCTGTGTTTGAATTATTACCATTTGGTATCATTTCTCTTCAGCATGAGAAAAATTTCTCTGGTCATTCTTACAGTACCAGCTGATTTGTGGTGAAAGACTCATAGCCTTTGTTGACCTGAGATGTATTTATTTTCATGTTTGAATGATCATTTCATTTGGCAAAAAATTAGGAATTGACTTGCACTTTATATTTGGATTTCAAGAATTTGATTGCAATATATCTATGTATGGGTCATTTTCATTATATTTATCTTATTGTGGTTTGTTGAGTTTAGAATTGTATGTTGATGTGTTCTATAAAATTTGGGAAGTTTTTGTTCATTACTTAAAATTTTTTCTTCCTATATTCTTGGTCCTCTTTTAGGACTCAAAATACTGCAAAGTAGGTCACATATCATTGATTCACAGGTCTCTGAGACTCTTTTCATTAAAAAAAATCTTTTGTCTGTCTATGCTATAAATTGGGTATTTTTCTACTTGCTTGTCAAATTCAGTAATTGTTCTGCCTCTGATCTGATGTTTTATCCAGTTAGTGAACTTTTCATTTCAGTTATTGTATTTTTCAGCTCTAGAGCACCCCCTCCACACACACACATACACCTTATTTTCTTTTTTTGTTTTGTTTTGTTTGTTTTTGGTACTGGGGTTCAAACTTGGGTCCTTCTGCTTGCACAACAGGTGGCGAAACCATTGAGCTAAACCCCCAGCCCTGCCCCTTATTTTCTTTAGAAAATAGTTTATGTACTTCTACTGAGATTCTACACCTGTTTGTCCATAACGTGTGTACTGCTTTGAAGTCTCTGAACATATAAATAGCTGCCTGAAATTTCTTGCCTGAAATCACTGCAGTACTGGAGATCATTTTAACTGCTTTTATTCATGATGGATCACATCTTTCTGCTTCTTTGCTTGTCTAGTGACTTATGAGTCACTGCTAGTTGTTGTCAATGATGTGCTGTAGAGATTCCAGATTCTGGTATGTTTCTCTGAAGAGCAATTTTCTTTTTCCTAGTAGCCAGTCAATTTGGATAGGCTCAGATTCTGAACCCAGCCTTCCTTATGATCAGCAGGGCCAGAACTGAAAATTCTGTTCAGTTTTTTCACTTTCTAGCTGCTGCTTTATCACCTTGTTCTCTGGGTTCCCCCAATACACATGTGCTTTTGTGGTTAGCTGAGAATTTCATTGTTGTTAGGGGGTCATTCTAGCTGTGGGTCCCTCTCTGCTAGGATTTACCCTCTTACTTTCTAACTGCTTTTCCAGCCCTCAACTCTGTTCTGAAACACCTCAAGCCAGTCAGGTTGCAGATTTTTGTCACTCTGAGACATTTGTAGATTGGTGAGTGCCCCCAGGCAAAGACCCCCAAATATGCCAATCTTCTACATTAGAATTCTGTCTTCTAAGGGTAGAGTCTCCTCTAGTTTCTCCCTGTTTCTGGATGCTCTCAGGACCTTCAAGTATTTGTTCTTTAAAATATGTTGTGTAGGCCAGGCCTGGTGGGATATCTCTTTAATCCCAGCACTTGGGAGCTGAGGCAGGAAGATTATCATGAGGTCAAGGCCCGCCTGGGCTACATAGTGAGACTCTGTTGAAAGAAAAAAAGTTATCTAGATTTTATAATTATGCATGGAAGGATTAATCCAACTAAGCTATTTCCCCATTTTTATAGCATTTAAAAAATAACAACTTAGAATTTGGTGCCTACATAAAAAGTTGAAATATTTGACAAAAGTCTCATTTGGGGGCTGTTTTCTTGCATGGCAAAGATTGGTTGGAGTTGAACTTGGCTACAATCTCTTCCCTCTTCGCTCCCCTGGAAAAAGAGTGAACTTTCCTGTTTTCTGCCCCCTGTTGTTGACTCATCTAAGGCCATCTGTCAGTTTCTTTGTATAATTTTCAACATGTCCTTGTAGACTTTTATTTCCCATCAAATCCTGTTTCAGAGTTTTTCTTGTACTCAACTCAAGCTGGGGCCCAGTGGTTTTATTCTGTGATCTACCTGCCCGTCCCTTCTTTCCCCAATAATTCTGTCCTCAGAGCTGCTTTTTCTTTAAGCAGTGATCTGTGTTCTTGAATGTTCCTTTTCCCCTACTTCCCTTTCTCTAGCCTGCCTGTCTTCCATGTTAACTAAGCAGCTACTATGTGCTCAGCATGGTTCTCGAAGGTAGGGATATAGCAGGATAAGAAAGCAAACTATCTGTGTCTTCATGGAGCTGACACGTGAAGGTGGGATGGTGATAATGACTAAGTCATATCCTAGTGACAAGCTCTATGGAGAAAGAAAGCTGAGTAAAGGATAGTAGGGCCACAGGCAAATGTTCCTATGTCTTAATCTCTCACCCTCCTGTTCATGCTGTGCTTGTTTGTGTTTTCTCCCATGGTGGCAGAAAGTGCTCTATATTGGGTCAGTCCCAGCTCTAACCACCTCTTACTTAATGTGATTTAGGGAAATCCCCTTGCTCTGCTTTGGCTTCCCTATCAGTGACACA